CACAAAAAAAAAAAAAAAAAAAAAAAAAAACATTCTTACCTTAGTCCGATAGCGTTCCTCTTCTGCATAGTATTTGTTGAACCCAACAATATCCTTGAATTCTTCAAATGATGGAAGAGATGACGGAGGTGGCATTTCCCCCTCCTTCAGTGTATGCAGCGCGTTCTCCATGGCCCGCACAGAGACGGCCAGCAAGGACAGCGGATACGCAACAATCTTGAACCCCATAGCCTCCAGCTCCTCCAAGCCAAGGATCGGCGTCTTTCCCCCACCTTCTAACATATTTGCCTGTCCCACGCACGCATACGACCAATTCAACAATACAAAATTCAGCAATCAAGATTCCGCAATCACCGTACCTGACAGCCGTTCATCACCACAGCTCAATCGATCGATCGATCAATCAATCAATCGATCGATCGATGATGATGATAACAATGATGATGATCTCTCATGATGCACGACAACTACCTAGGAGAGAGGACTGCCGTCATCGTCATCGTCATCATCATCATCATCATCGTAAGCCACCAGTCGCATTCCACGACACAACTGATCTTCCGGAGTGGGCCAATGTCTACAGATGGAAGAAACGTCCATGTTCTTTTTTTGGTAATCTAAGAACTTGTTCTGTCTTCTTCTTTCTCTGAATTTCCAAATCAAAAGATTTGATAACAACCGCTAAAGTTGGCTAAACAAAGAAAGTAAGATATCACATATTGATATTGATTTCGGATTCTTCTTCCAAGGTAGTAAGTACCCAAATATCTCGTGGTAAAAGCAGAAGGTACGAAAGAAGGAAAAGAGTGGTGGTGGTCCTTGCACCCATCAGGAAAAAACTGTCAAGTACATGGCGCGAACATGCCAGATTTTTGAAAGGAGAGACTATATAAGTTTATACTAACTTTATAGTACTTTTACTACTTTATATACGCACGGCAAACCGTGGAATAGTCCCCATGGATCATGCGGAGCTGCCCCGTAAACTGTAGGCAGAGAGGGAGAAGAGGACAACAAACGAGGGGATATATATATATACATATATCGTCACAAATAGAACTGCCCGGTAAACCGTAGGCAGAGAGAGAGAAGAGGACAACAAACGAGGGGCTGTGACAAACTGTTTCGTC